CACAAGACGAACTAGTTGCTCCACAAAACGAAGGAAGTTTCTGCAACGAATCAACTTGCGAAACTATTGAATTGCACGTTTGAATTATGATGTACTTTAATATTTCAAGATAATAGAACCTACGACCTACCTCGGCTCAATAAAACCTTGTTTATTTCGGTTTTTGTAGTTAGAGTTTATTATTTTAAGTTTTTTTAAATTATTTCAATGTATTTAAGACTATGTGGTTCAACGCATACAAAATGCATATTTAATAATAATAATAATAATATTTTTTTTTTTTTTATAGGAGAGGGGGCAAACGAGCATGCGGCTCACCTGATGGTAAGTGACTACCGCCGCCCATGAACAACCGCAACACCAGGGGAATTGCAGATGCGTTGCCGGCCTTTTAAAAAGGAGTAGGCTCTTTTCTTGAAGGTCCCTAAGTCGTATCGGTCCGGAAAAATCGCTGGTGGTAAACTATTCCACAAGGAAGTTGTGCGAGGAAGAAAACATCTTCTAAATCGCACAGTGGTGGACCGCCAATCATCCAGATGGTGTGGATGGTATCGGGATTTCTGCCACGATGTGCGTTCGTGAAATTTGGCGGCTGGGATTAATCCGAACAATTCCTCAGAGCACTCCCCATGGTAGATGCGAAAGAAAATGCAAAGAGATGCAACATCTCTTCGCAGTGCCAATGAATCGAGCCGATCGGAAAGGGCTCGGTCGTCGACGATTCGAGCCGCTCTGCGCTGGATGCGGTCAAGTGGAAGGAGCTGGCACTGGGGAGCCCCTGCCCAGAGATGGGAACAGTATTCCATGTGAGGCCGAACCTGCGCCTTGTAAAGTTGCAGGCGGTGTGCCGGCATGAAATACTGTCCCGCTCTGCTGAGCACGCCAAGCTTTTTAGAGGCCAATTTGGCCTTCTCTTCCAAGTGACCACGAAACTGCACGTCACTCGATATGTCGACTCCGAGGATACCGATACTGGCTGAGGCAAGAAGGGGAGTGCCTTGAAACTGAGGAGATACGACAAAGGGGTTCTTTTTAGCGGTAAACGCGCAAACTTGTGTCTTCTGAGGATTAAACTGGACTAGATTTAGTCGCCCCCAATCCGAGACTTTGTCCAGCAAAGACTCGACTTCAGACACAAGTTTGTTCCGGTACTCGGCGACGTTTTCCCGAGAAATATTGGCCCGGCCGGTGTATAGAGCATCACCAGTGCTGTCATCCGCATAGCAATGAATGTTACCAGTTAGCAACATATCATTGATATGCAGAAGAAACAGCGTTGGTGATAGCACACAGCCTTGTGGAACACCAGCGTTAATAGGCTTGTAGTCAGAACATGCACCGTCTACAACGACCTTGATGCTCCGATCTGCAAGAAAGCTGGTGATCCAATTGCACAATTTCTCGGGAAGCCCATAGGAAGGCAGCTTTGAAAGAAGCGCTTTGTGCCAAACCCGATCAAAGGCCTTCGCAATGTCCAGACTAACGGCCAACGCCTCCCCCTTGGACTCTACTGCCTCCGCCCATCTATGGGTCAGGTAGACCAGAAGATCACCAGCTGATCGACCCCGACGAAAACCGTATTGGCGGTCACTAATCAGCTGGTGATCCTCAAGGTACCGGATGAGCTGGCAGTTAATAATGGATTCCATTATTTTGGAGAACAAGGAGGTGATCGCGATAGGCCTATAGTTGGACGGGTCTGAGCGGTCGCCTTTTTTTGGGATCGGGTGGACAAAAGCTGTCTTCCATGAATTCGGGACTACGCCTTGGGAGTAGGAGTACCGGAAAAGACGCGTTAGGACCGGTGCCAACTCCGGAGCACACGTCCTCAGCACAATTGGGGGGATTCCGTCAGGCCCACTCGACTTCTGGATGTCCAGGGAGAGAAGTGCTTTGCGAACTGAGCGCTGTGAGAATAGCACATACGGCATGGAGCACTCACACCGCGGGATGGTCGGCGGTATTTTCCCCCCGTCATCAAGAGTCGAGTTGGACGCAAAAAGGGAGCCTAAAAGGTCGGCTTTGTCTTTTGCGTCTTGGGCCAGTGAGTCGTCCTCCCTGTGCAGAGATGGTAGTGATGGCTTACAGAAATTCCCTTGGACAGCCTTGGCGAGAGACCAGAATGCACGGGTTCCCGAAGGAAGGCGAACTAGTTTCTCGCCAATTCTGCCTATGTGCTCTGACTTTGCCTTGGCAATAACTCTTTTGAAGGACCTGGAGGCGAAGTTATACTTCTTTTTAAGTGTGCTGGTGTTTACATCCCGAGTCACCGAAGCCGCAGCCCAGGCTTGATAACACTCCTGCTTACTGCGCAATGCAGTCTTACAGGAGCGACCAAACCAAGGCTGAGATCTGCCTCCGATGGGTACCACAGATGATGGAATAAATAGTTCCATTCCCTGTAGCACCACATCAGTGACAGAGTTAGCAACAGCACTGGGATCATCCGGCGAGAAGCAAACCCGCCCCCATGGGTAGGATGCAAAGAAAGACCGCATTCCGTCCCAATCCGCCGACCTGTAATGCCAAACACGGCGGCAACCTGCAGAACGCAACCGCGAAGGGAGCGTGAGTGGCACCATACTCCGGATCAGACAATGGTCCGAAGAGCCGAGAGGGGCATCGACGGAAACCTGATATCCGTCCGGATGAGAGGTCAGCAGAAGGTCCAACAGGGAAGGTGTATGATCCTCCACATCTGGAATCCACGTAGGCGAAGTAACCAGTTGTGTCAGACCATATGCCAAGGCAAAGTCATAAACAGATCTCCCCGCATGATCGGTTAGACGTGAACCGAGCCATTCGGCATGGTGGGCGTTAAAATCGCCAAGGATCACGATCTCTGCGGATGGGACCTGTTGTAGCAAGGAATCTGTAGCCATTTGGACGTGGTCGATGAGTCGGTCTGTTTCGGCATTACCGCTATGGGACCTATAGAGGCACCCGTAGACGCGCGGATGGTCGTCGCTGTCTACGCGTAGCCAAAGGATGGACAGGTCCGAACCTTCAAGACTGCCGAGGCGTCGAGAACAGATGTCCTCTCTAACATACACGCAAACTCCAGCCCGAGGCACAAAGGAGTGCTCCAATTTGTACCCCGGGTAGGAGAGATACGAAATATCAGTCGGAGAGGAAACCTGCGTCTCGGTCAAAAAGAGCAAGGCCGGCTTCGCCGTCTCGAGATGGTAGTGGACGGCGTTTAGGTTAGAGTGAAGTCCCCTGATGTTGCAGAAATTCACGGATAGCGTGGCAGGGGTCGCCTTGGTATTGTTGCTCAGCTTGCCCCGAGCAGTTTTGTTTTTGAGCGGAATTTTGCCCCCCCCAGAATACGCGGGGCAGCCTGAGCACCCACGCTCAGGATTGGAATAACATGGTCGTGGATGCTCAGCGAGGGATTCTCCAGGGGTACTGGTACCCTCCTGGGGTAGTCTATTGTCTAATTCCGCTACCATGTTGATGGGGGGGGGGGGGGGAATTGGGCCTCCGGCCACCTGCACTCACCAGACGAAACGCAGAAGCAGAGCCTCTACTTCACGCCGGTATTCTGTGAGGTCGTGGTACCAACCCGGCTCGAGCCGGCCCATACGTGCAACAGCAAAAAACTGCTGCAGGGCTCTACCACCGTTATTAATATGCATTTATTCATTACCACCAATAAAGTTAAAATGAGTACATACAGAAATGACAAGAATTACATAATGTAGTAATGAATGGGCTCTAGCTCAGCATATTGCAGTTGCCTACAACGCTGTTATTCTGCCAGCGCCCAACATATGAACTGTTCATGTACGCGCGCATCCCTTTAATCACAACTATTCACATTAGGGTACATACCGTGGATCCCCGACTATTAGCCAGTTCAAATTAATAATCAAATATATATATTTTCATAGAATTATTACGCATAGAATACCGTCAACTAAGGCATCTTTCCTTCCTTCATTCCCTTGTCATCTTTACCTACCACTGACAAGTAATAAGAAATATCATTTTTATCAGAAACTACTATTGGTAGATATTTCATAGACACATTAGTAGTTTCGTAATGAGCCTATGGTCACGCATATTTTTTTTTTATACTGGCAGCACTGTCCAATGACAAGTTATTAACGTTTGTTGATAATCGCGGGACACTTGTCGCAGCTAATTCTGGTCGAAATTTTAATTGTGCTTGTGAATTTGCTTGGCTGAGGTAAGTAGAATTTGATATATATTATATATAACCTTCCTAAGAAGACGTGGCAGCTGTTATAGTGGTAATTTCTTAATAATTTTAAGAGAAATTTGCATAGGTAATGATAGTTGAGGCGAGGTAAAGTTGCCACAGTTTGTATAGTGGCGTCTTTACCTGTACCTAGGGTTGTCACTATACTTTACGCGTTTCTATACGTAAATGTTTTATTTATCTACTTTTAGGAGGGCTTACAAGCTAATTACAACTTACATAACAATATTAATACACTTATTCTAATAATAATAATATGTGTGTATATTTATCATAACCAGATGAGAATACTCCATAAATACCCCAAAAATAATAATAATAATATTGTAGGTACTAACACTTTAAACCGCCTTTGTGGCGCAGTGGTTAAGCCACTATCTACTATTTCAGAGACCGTGGGTTCGATTCTTGATGGGAACCTATATCTGACATGGCAGGCGGAATAGATCCATCATCATCATCATGTTTTTCTCTCTGCTTAGCCTAATGGTTGACTGGGAGATTCCGTCATATGTACGATTTTATTTTTTGTGCATAAAAGTTTAAATAAATAAATAAATCATGCTAATATTATAAATGCGAAAGTGTGCTTGTTTGTTTGTTTGTCCTTTAATCGCATTGCAACAGTGCAATGGGTCGACGTAATTTGTTGCATGGATATAGTTGAAGACCTGGAGCCACCAAATAACCGCCGCTACTGCTTGCCTTGTGACATAAAAAAATGCTTTTGGTGTTGGTACTTACCGAGTTTACTTTATTTCAGATAAATTAAAATATGACTCGCCCTAAACCTAAAAAACGGAACCGAAGTAAAATAGGAGCAAGGGCCTACAAAAACTATTCTGAAGAAATGCTCACTCTTGCAGTTGAAATGGTCCGTAACAAAAATGTGTCATCTTATGACGCAGAAAAACAATTTGGAATACCACGTCGTACCATAGAAAAAAGGGCAAAAAACTTACACACTAACAAACCTGGTCCACGGTACCGATTTACAGAGGAAGAAGAGCTCCAATTTGTAAAAGTGCTTATTGTTGCATCTGAATTTGGATGTCCATTGACACAGTTGGATTTCCGTATGATTGTATTTGATTACCTTAAAAATAATAATAAAGCGTACATTTTTAATGACAATCCTCCAGGTGATTGGTGGGTGAAAAACTTTTTGATAAGACACCACGATAAGCTTACCGTGCGATCTACACAAAACATTAAAAAAGCAAGAGCCGAAAAATCCCTTCAAGATTTTAAGATCTACTTTGAAAATTTAAAGAGCTGTGTTGAAGATTTGCCGGCAACCCATATACTCAATTACGACGAAACAAATGTCAGCGATGACCCGGGGGCAGTCAAATGCATTTTTCGCCGGGGAATCAAGTATCCGGAAAGAACAGTAAACTACTCAAAAGGTTGTATTTCTATAATGTTTTCCGGAACAGCCAGTGGTGATCTTTTAGCTCCGTACGTCGTCTATAAATCTGAAAATATGTGGACACAATGGTGTGATGGAGGTCCAGAAGGGGCGCGTTATAATCGAACTAAAAGTGGCTGGTTCGATTCTGGCATGTTCATGGATTGGTTCACTACAATAGTAATACCATGGGCTCAACGTCTGGAAGGACCGAAGCTGGTTATAGGAGACAACCTTTCAAGCCATATTAACGTAGATGTGGTAGAACTTTGCGAGCGTCACAATATTAGGTTCGTGTTACTACCACCAAATTCAACGCATTTAACCCAGCCTCTGGATGTTGCATTTTTTGCTCCACTTAAACGAACGTGGAGGAAAATTCTTATGAAATATAAGATAGAAAACCCAAAGCAGACGTCTCTCAATAAAATCCACTTTCCTATACTTTTAAAACAATTAATTGAAGAAGTGAACTTAAATAAAGCCGATAACTTGATCAGTGGATTTAGAGCAACGGGCATATTTCCATATAATCCACAGAAAGTATATTCAAAAATTCCGGAATACTGTGAAGAGATCACTTATGACGTAGATAAATCTTTACTTGACTATCTAAAAGAGAATCGGAATCCAAACCCAATAAGACGAAATACAAATAAAAAAATGTATAACGCAGCTGGAAAATCTGTCACAAGCTGGGACATAAATAAAAACGTAACCAAGAAAAACACAAAGAGTAAAACTAGTGAAATAACAAGCGAAAGAAATTTTATTGCAAACAGTGGTGAAGAAGTAGTGCAAAACGACATACCAGAAAAAAAGAGGTCAAAAATAACTATTCTCTCAGACATTAGAATACCGCCAAAAACAGACAAGAATAAAAAAACACCAACGAAAAAAATAAAAGAAGCTAAAGCTGGACCATCCGGTATTACGATAAAAAGAAATTTACAAAACGCTTGGCCATCTGTTCTAAAGACAATTTTGAAAAAAGATGTAAAAAGGAAGGGTATAAGAACCAAAAAACTCCACGATAATTCTTCGGATTCAGACTCTGACTGCTCTGTGCAGTATGCAGATTCTTCGGACTACGATTCAATTGAAGACATGCAGGACTACTTATTGAGACAACTGACAGAAGATCAGAAAATGGAGGAAAAGGAAAAAGATGAACAAATGACCGAATTGGAAACGAAAGGGCATGAAACAGAAAGCTTGAGAACAGAATATGACAAGGGGAAAGAAGAATGGTTAAAACAGGAAATAGAGGATCAAATTAAGGAATTGGAAAAAAAAACGATATGAGATAAAAAACTTGAGAATAGAAAGTGATAAAAGGCAAGTAAAAGAGATGGTAAATTTATATGACATGGATAAAGTCGAATGGGAAGTACGGAACATAGAGGAACAAACGAAGGAATTGGAAACAAATGGACATGAGAAAGAAAGCTTAAGAATAGAAAGCGATGAAAGGAAAGGACAGGAGATGGAAAAACAGATGGTACATGAATATGAAATGGAGAGAGACGCATGTAAAGAACAGGGAAAAGAGGAACACATGAATGAATTGGAAACAAAAGGACATGAGACGGAAAGCTTGAGATCAGAAAGCTATGAAAGGAAGGGACAGGAGATAAAACAAAAGATGGTAAATGAATATAAAATGGAGAGAGACTTATGGAAAGACCAGGAAACAGTGGAACAAATAAAAGATTTAGGAACAAAAGAGCATAAAACAGAGAAGCATGAAAGAAAACAACAGATAAAGAGCCTGATAATAGAAAACGATGATAAAAAAGGACTGAAGATAAAACGACGAAGACTAGAAGAGACTATGTCAGAAAAAGATACAATTAATGAACAAAATGAGAAGGCATTTATAGCCAAAAGTTTATATATTGGACAATACATCTTAGTAAAGTTTGAAAGTACCAAAAATACAAATAAGTATTACTGTGGCCTGATTACGAAAATATCCGAGCGTGAAGGTGTTTTCGCGAAATTCATGAGATATAAAAATGGCGGGTTTTACTGGCCCACAGTACCCGATACAAGTATTGTATTTGAAAATGATATAGTACAAATTTTACCAAATCCCTATAAAAACCGGCGTGGAATTTTATATTTTGATGTCAAATTTAAATATAAATTGGAATAATAAGTTTCATTAAGTATAATTATCAACACAATTTAGTTGAAACTATGGTAGTATAAGTATGATAAATGTGAAACAACTAGTGCCTGATATACATTATATAACTCTTCATGCGAGTGTCTGACTTGCATTTAATCAATGTTTTATAGCGTACATTTTAACATCATTTTTAAACTGGTGGCAGCCCTGATAATTAATTACATTTGTATGAGAATTTCAATGGAGTCCATGCCATCTTTACCTACCAGCATTTATTGCCCGTATATAGCTTTTTTAATTAAAATACCCATATGTCTAAACAGAGAAAGTAAAGCGAAAGGGTATCTTTACCAATTTCAGTTCAGTAAAGTAGCCATTTTTGTGGCTTCTTTACCTGTGTCATGTTTTTGGTGCTACTTTAGTGGTTTTGCAGCCATGGGAAACAGTGCATTTATAAAGCAACGGAGAAGTACTATATTCATCGATTAAAAATAATAGCTTAATCATAAGTGTTTTATTTTTCCATTTATTAACTTTTTCCTTCAAAATTATGGTAAAGATGCCTTAGTTGACGGTACTAGTACGCGCACCGAAAGTGAAGCAAGTAAAACTAACGCGAAACCGCGTTAGTTGACTCAGCGACGCGTCAGTGCGCAACGTCACGCCTTACGGAAAAGAGCTCGCGAAAAATTGTAAAAATTACCGTTTGTGTTGTAAAATATTGTCACAACGGTGATGATAAACATAAAAGAAGTGATGGTATTACATTTCACATATAAGTTTATACATTTAATTCATTATAAGTACGTAAAACTAAAAAAATATTTACCTAAGCTCTCATAATACAAATGTTGCTAGTTGTGGGGAAAAAATCACAAATTTCTAAATAAATATTTAAATATTATTAAATATTTATTTTCTATTTGTGTTTAAACGTTTAATCGCAATGCTTTGTGTAAAACTCGAAGGTTACCTACCTACTTCTCTAAGTGTTAACATTATATGAACAATGGGTGCCTATTTAAAACTAATACGGAGTGATCAGCTAATCGCGACTCGCCGACGCCGTTTTAACGCAACTATTTTATTTTAATTGCTTTTTTTATTGACTACGGTTACATTTTAGAGTATAGAATAAAACTTTTTTATTTACAACATAATGAGATTATTAATAAGAACGCCTTTACTAACCAGATATCACTTTACACCCAAACATTAACCAGATGTTACGTTAGACCCAAACATAGCCTATTTTAACCAACTCCAAAAAAGAAAGGTTATCAATATGTATATACACTGATTTCTAAGCTTGATCAATTCGTATATACATGCTGAAATTTTAGTGGTTGTTGTCCCGCAGCCAAATTATACTGTCTCGATAGTAGAGTCAATTTATTAAATTAACAAATATTACAATTAAAAAAGGGCAGATTTACAATAGTAATACCTCACAAGTTATTCGGGCGTCCAAACTAGTTTATGTCGTATCACTACGCTTGAGAGTTCATGTTATGAACATTTATTAGTGGCCCTTCACTGTGTAGGAAGCGCGCGGTAGCATATGCGATAGACGTAAAACTACATAACGTCCAGCGAATTTTATTTTCAGACTTTATTAAAAACTATATATAAGCTAGCCTGCACGCCCGACCTACTTGCGAGATATTGCTATTCGAGTTTTGTTTTTCTCGATTGTAAATATGCCATTTTTATATCCTAATAATTCTATTTTAATAAATCTATTGTACTACTAAGGCAAAATCATTTTACTTCGGGAAAACAACCATTAAAATTTCATCGTGTGTATTGGATCAATCTGTGTATATCCTTTCAAATAAAAAAATCTAAATCAGTTTAGAAATTGTATAATTCTGAGTTAAAAAGCATTAAAAATTCACCTTCTTTTTGAAGTCGGTTAAAATTAAACATTACACGATGTGCTTATTGTATTCGAGCAAATTAATTGTGTTTAATAATATTCTTAAATTTTATTACGTCTGCATTTTTTACCATTAATATATGTATAATAAAGTTATATTAGTACCATTATTATCGTGTTTATTTTATTCCATTTTATATTCTCATAAAATACATCTTCGTACGTAATACGTAATCTTTATTATATCGGTTTTTTAAAATTAATCAAAAAATAGTGATTTGCACAATTTGATTGCAAACGCCAGAAACTGGTATCACTGAATGGCGTGTATGTGTGCGTGTGACGAGCGTAGGCACATTCGACTCGCGCCCACTAACATTATGACCTTGCATCATTTTAACGCTCGTGTTTTGTACTGGACTGCGCTTCTATGCGTAATAATTCTATGTATATTTTATTACCATTTTTTTAAATAAATAATTATTACAACAATATAACTAATAATAAGTAACATGAATTATAAAATAATATTGATATTAACAAGCCTAACTTCTTTAATCACATATAAGTTGTTTCCCCACCTACTACATAGCAATGTTTATTATTTGTTTTAAGTATTTACAGGGCGGTCCTGCAATTAGGTAAAAATAAGCCGCTTATGACAGTATTTGTTCTCTTAGTAAGTGACGTCTATATTTCTTTTTAAAACTGGATTTACTTGTCATAGTGCGTAGTGGTGGTGGGAGATCATTCCAACACTTAGTTGCCATAAACTTAGAACTGCCTCGGAAAGCCGATGTTTTGTGTTTAGGGACGCAAAAAACTTTTGAGCATATTAGGGTTTTATATACATGTTGGTCATTTCTCCAATTAAGTTTTTTGTAAAAATATTCTGAATTCTTTGTATTTAGTATGCCGAATAGCAAAGAAGCATAAAAAAGTGTGAGACGCCCCTGCATTTTTAACATATTTGAGGCATTAAGATATGATGTAACATGAGTTCGTCTCGGTATGTAAAAACAATAGCGAGCACAAGCATTCTGTACCCTCTGGATTAATTTTTGTGATTTTTTAAGCAAACAAGGTCCATAAACAGTTATACAATTATTTAATTAAGCTAAAACTAGGGTTTCACAAAGCTTTACACGTAAATTAACTGTGATAAATGGTGTAAATCTATATAGAACTTTTAACCTGTAAAAGCAGTTTTATACCAAATTTATCACATGATTTTCAAACCTCAAATTGCTGTCAAAAAGAATGCCTAAATTTCGTGCTTCATGAACTTGTGCAATTGTCTCTCCATTAACATGAACATCAGGTTCAGTTATAGCTATATCATGTACCTGCTTTTTAGTGCCAATTATAAGGAATTTTGACTTTGAAGGATTGAGAACCATGGAGTTATTTTGTGACCAATCGCAAACACGTTGAATATCCTGATTTAACTTATTTACTAATGTGTTAATATTTTTTCGATCTATGGGAATATATACCTGTAAATCATCAGCATATAGATGTTATTTACAGTTTTTGAGACAGTTTATTATATCAGCACTGTAAATAATAAAAAGCAAAGGCCCTAACACAGATCGTTGAGGAACACCTCTATTAACAGGAAGAAGCTTAGAAATAAAGTTTTTACCATTATGCCTGTCTAAAATTACTTGTTGATGTCGGTCAGTTCAATAACTTTTAAACCACTTGAGTGTTTCATTATCAAAACCATAATATGAAAGCTTAGAAATCAGTAAGTTTGTGTTAATTGTTAGTGTTAATATTTGGACATTACATGATTGTGTATACAGAATGTAACAAAAATATAAAATAATATTTAAGGGGCTGTTTCATTTCTTTTCAATTAAATTAAAAATTTAATTTTATTTAATTTAATTAAATTTAATCTAAACTAATGCTCATACAGTTAAAACTTAAACAGAAGTGTTTTCTTCTTGTTTTTTTTTTGTAATTGTTAAGGTTAATGAATACGTTTTTCAAATACCTAAGTAGGTATTTTAAAGTTGATGAATATGAATGATATTAGTATAGAACCATAATAACTTTTATTTAGTTCTAACAAAAAAATACTGATGTTTAGTCATTAATAAATACCTTAAACCTACCTAAATACCATAAATACCTAATAATCTTTTTTATAGGCCGACAATATTATTACTACCGCTATGGCTCGATTTCTACAAGGAGTGAGAAGCAAAAGGATTCTTAGCGAACTTCAACAAGATAATTTGGTAACAAACCTAAGACATTCTATTGCGGAGGAAAATGAACAGA